ATTTGTGGCAGAGAAGCTTCACTCTATGTCCTCCCCACATCCTTTTGTCTGTCTCTGCCTTGCCACAGACCACCCATCGACAGAATTAATGTTCCATTTGATTAATTCAGGTCCAATACTTGCCAGTTTATTGAGAGACTGTGTCATTAGAATAATTTTACAATAGGGTTTTGAGGGAGGTCAAGGAGTCACAGATAACAGGAGAAGATACCTGACACTGTCTCCCCCATTTGTCACGGAGGGCAACATGGAGGGAGGAGTTCTTTCCTATAAGGACTCTCCGTGAACTGAGGACAAATGTTCAGAAAATGACGTTAGCTTCTCAGAGTTGAAACAAGTGATTTCTGTAACTCAGCCATGCCCTGCCTCTCCCTGTCACCATGCCCAGGTGTCCTTCCCCTCAACATGACCGCCTCTCATCTGTGCCACATCACCTGCTGTTTACCCACATTCAACAGCTGACAACTGAGTCACTGTCGGTACACAGTAGGTGCTGTGTGGGGGGAGAGACAGACACAGACACAGACTCAGTGCAATACAGGCAACATCACAGAATGCACATTTTCCAAACTAGAGCTGCCTTTAGAGTCCTGACCCTCAGCTGGCGAAGAACCATCCTCCATTCTAACCTCTAAACAAGACTCCACATCCCACTCCTTCTCTTCATTGTCATTCACATGTACCTTAAAGATTCAAGAGCATATAAAATGTACAGATGATGTACTGAAATCTATCTAATTCTATCAATCAATGTCACGACAATAAAGTTAATAGTAATAAAAAGATTCAGGTGAAGCCATGTGCAGCCGTGTGAGGATTGGAAGAACACTGCAGGTTAAGCATCCCTGCCTGGCCCGGGACATACTGGTCAGATGCTGCGTGGCCTGAAGCAACAAGGTATGTCCCTGCACACTCTTCTCCCTCCCAACATCTCTCCTATTCTTCTCTCTGATCTCTGTGACCTCAGATTCCCCCCATTCTTTTCTGATCTTTCTCTCCTCTCTCAACCTTACATCCTCTATCTCCCTCTCTTACCTCATTCATCTCTCACTGATCTCCTTGATCACCACTCTCCTCCTTCAGATCCCTGTGATTTCTACCTCTCACCACTCTCCCTCATTTTTGTTCAACAATCTTCTCCTGATGCCTCCAATCTCTAGTCCTCACCCTTTTTTGCTGCCTGATCCCTCATCTCTTTGGTCAGCTCTATTCCCTCTCAGATCCCTCTGATCTCCACTTCTGATCCCTGTCCCTCGGGGCTGTTTTCTGTCAACTTTCTTACATCTCTCTGGTCACCACACCTACATCTGATCACTCTCCATCACCTCTTTGCCGTCACATCTTTTTCATTACCACTCTTAGCCATTAGAGGCATCTGAACGACATCACTGATCACTCTCCCATCTCTTTCTTCAGCACTGTTCTCCACTTCCGATACCTGCCCCTCAGGCCTGTTTTCTGTCATCGGTTTGATAACCACTCTTCTTGTAAGATCCTTAGAGCTCTCTCTTAGGTGACCACCCTTTCCCTTCACATGCCTCCTCTTTCCCTTCACATGCCTCCTATGTCAAACTCTGATCACTGTCTCGTCTCTCTCATCCTCCCTTTTGTTCCTCAGATGGCCATCTGTGCTCCCAATCCCTCCACCTCCACTGCTGACCATGTCCCTCAGGCCTGTTTTCTGTCAGCTTTCTCTGATCTCTTTTGATCATGGCCCTTGACCAACATCTGTAGAGATCGTGGCTGGCCTCCCTTCCCTTCACATCCCTCTCCTACCTGTGATCACTGTCTGGAGTCTTTCATCCTCCCTGATCTCCTTTAGATTCCTCTGATGGCCATGTGTGACCCCATCCCTCACTTGTGCTCCCCAAGATCCTTCTGATCTGCACTTTGGAACCCTGTCCTTTGGGCCTGGTGGTTTTGCTCTTCTCCTGAGATCTCCAGGGATCTCAAGGCCACTTTGCTCTCCCTGTGATCAGTGTCGTCTGCTTCACCTTGCCTGTTCTATAGATCCCTCAGATCTCCACTTCTTGACCTGTCCCTCGGAGCTTTCTCTCATCTTGATCACCGATCTTTTCCTGAGATCCCCAGGAACCTGTGTCTCAGATCTCTTAGGTCACTTCTCTGTGCCTTCACATCCAGTGTGTCTGTTGTCCGTTTCACTTTCTCTGTTGTGATTTAGATCCTGCTGATTGAAATCTGTGATCCCTGGTTTCTGGCAGCTTTCTCTCATGTCCTCCATCACCACTCTTGTCCTGGGATCCCCAGGGTTCTGTCCCTAAGATGTCTTGGTCATCATATCCCTCGTCTCTATGTCTGATCCCTGTCTGGTGTCTTCATCCTCTGTTCTGACTTAGATCCCTGGGATCCCCGTCCCTCACGTGTGCTCCCCAGTGTGCTCTTTCTGATCTGATCGCTACTTGAGAGCCCTGTCTCTCTTATCTCCTTGAGCAGCACTCCTGTCCTGAGATCCCCATGGCTCTGTCTCTAGTATCTCTTAGGTCGCATCACTGTCTCGTGTCTCTCATCCTGCCTATTGTCTTTTCCGATCCCTGTCCCTCAGGCCTGCTTTCTGGGAGCTTTCTGTCATCTCCTCCATAACGGTTACTCTCTCTTGCCTGACTTCCCTTTTCCCTATCATCTGTGTACCTGTGGTTGGTGTGTCTCTGATGCTCTGTTTTGCTGAGTTCACTGCCTGCTGCGGGTTGTGTCCTGCGGTCTCCCATGTATGCGTCTCATGTCTTTATCAGTCTTAGAGGCCTCTGCTTTCTTTTTAATTTTTTTAAAAGATTTTATTTATCTTTAGAGGGAGAGAAACATCAATGTATGGTTGCCTTTTGTGCACCCCCTGCTGGGAAATGGCCTGCAGGGAACTGGCCTGCAACCCAGGCATGTGCCCTGACTGGGAGTTGAACCGCCAATCCCCTGAGCTACACCAGCCAGGGCGAGGCCTCTGCTTTCTCATTCCATCTTTGTGCTTTGGGGTTCTGGTGTGTGTAATCTGTTTGCTCCTTGTGTTGTGCAGGTGTGGTCCCTTAGGTATTTGATCAGCATTTTCGTAACATCCTGAGATGTATTTCTTGTGTGTGAGTTTGGTGAGGCTGTGCAGTGTTCCATCCTTCCTCTTTTGTTTGCCATGAGTGGTATGGCTATTGCTGAAGATTTTGTGTTTGTGGTGTGTAGGTGTTGTTGAGCATGTTGTATGGAAGACATTTTTTATGTGTTAGATGAATGATGTTTTTGGTGGCTGTGTGTCTTTCATATCATTTTTGTGTGTGTGGTAGTGGGGTTGTAGTGATTAGGTTTTTGTGGGTATTCATGGGTGTGTCTGTGATGTGTTACATTGCGGGTAGTTCATTTGCGATGGTAGTATTGTGTGTGATTTTAAGTTGTGCGTGTTTGTCAGTGTGAGGTTTGTGTGAATGTGTGGTTGAGCAGTCTGTTTCATATGGTTTTTGGACATGTATGTGAGTGGGTTTTGTGGAGTGTTTGTACATTGCAGGTGGCATAGTTACCTTAGTGTAGATAATGGTGTGGTTTGGGGTGTCAGTTTGTGAGGTGAATGGGTCTGAAGGTGTTAGTGAGATTTGGTATGTCATTGGTGTCCTTTGTTTTTCTCGAAGGGACTTGGAATGGTGCTGTGAGGGAGAGTCAGGTTTGGTGGTATGGTTTGTTTTGTGTGCAAGTGAAAGTTATTAACATGTGTTCTCTGTTTTCTGTGGTGTGAAGAATGGGGGAAGATGAATTGGGAGGAACTGGTGGCCGAATCATGTTGTTGGATGAAGTTTGTCATTCTTAGCATGCTGGTGTGTGGGGCTGCAGGCAAGTGAGATGTAGGGTGTCATCCTGGAAAGATATTTGTAATCAATGATGGGCGGTAATGGGACGCGAAGAGTGGTTTGGTTTTCAATGTCTAGAGGGATGTATAGCCCTAAAATAGAGTGGTGGTTGTACGATTCAATAAAGAGTGTGAAAACAGTGTTCATGTGTCCTGTGAATGGCGCATTCATATTTTCATAGCATTGGATGTGGCAGGTCGTGAAGTGAGGGGCCTTACCTGCACTGACATCTGCCACTCAGTATGAGTGGACTGACACTCCAAGAGTTCCTAGCCAGGTAATATTTGTGTTTGACGCACATGGGGCCACCCGCCACCGGGGTCGCCTCACTTAGGCACTCATTTCCACACAGGATGAGCAAATGGGCAGCTGGAATGGCCACACAAGAAAGACTGGGAGATTCCACTCGACCTTCCAGCCATGGGTGCAGGGGCTGGACACCTCACACTGATCACAAATTACACTGCATGTTACCCGTATGAAAACGAGTCCCCTTGCCCTTCTACTGAACGCCATTCCTCCCCCCTTTCCAGAGCAAGACAGGGTCACCAGGGACCTCTGGACATCCCCTCTAAGATAGCACCACTTGCTTTCTATCTGTCTACCTATCTAATCTATCCATTTATCTACCTGTCCCTGAGTAAGAGTCCAACCTTGATTCTGGACAACTGCTGTGTCCCTGCCCCCATAAGGCCATCCAAATGGAACACCCACTACAGCCACCCTGGGGCCGGATGGACACGAGTATGTGAGCGGCTGCTTGCCTCAACTACTGCTGCACAGATGATGGCACAAACCAGGGATCACATCACTCAGCTTATGGCCCAACAGAAAATTCCCTCACAATCGCCAGATATGCCTGTTCATTAATCCATTCTCTCAGCTATCCACCATCGACAGACATGTCCCATACAAGGTCCACCACAAATAATAAAAATGCCCGTCTCATTTCAATAAATGACAAAGCACGCCCTTCTGTACCATAAGAAACAACAGCACACCATAGGACATTCCAGGGGACATGCTCCCATGAAAACTACACAACACACACCACCACACAGATCTGCCCCTGACCAGGTCCTGTGCTGTATAGAGCACAACAGAGAAGTGATCACAGCTCAGCACAGGAGTGCAACAAACCAACAGTACCACCACACCTACCAGGAACACAAATGTTGCAAACAGCAGGAACTAGGACAGATCCCAGGGTCACGTGGCTCCTGCCCTGCAGGTGGCCTCTGCACTGCTTGGGTAGTGGATGGTCCCCTGTGTGTAGAAGCAGAAAAGTGCAATGACCAAAAGAAGGCCAGCAGGCTCAGCAGACGCCCCACGCTCAGGGCTCATAGGGCTCCCGTGGGTCATTGCTCCCTACAGCCACACCAACCTGACTCTGGGAGACAGTCAAAGGAGATGCCTCACCAACCGTCCCTCCTGTCCTGAGGAGGACATGTGTGCAGATGCTACAGCTCTCCGCACTGCAGGGTTGTCCTCTCTAGGCACTCCCCCACCACTGGCTTCCAGGACAGATGCAAAACATACTCCACCCCAACCTCTGATCTGGAGTGGCGGCCACTATACGAATAGACCCAGCACTGAAGGTGCCTGCAGAGAGAGTCTGCTATGTGGCATGTGCTTGTCTAACAAACGTTACCCAACTTCCAAATGTTGGCACGAGGGACAAGGCAGGCTGGAGGGCACGAATCCACCAGCAAGATGGGCTCAGGCCTTCCCCAGCACCTACAAGGGCAGCAGGGAAGCCAGGTGGTCTTGGTTGGCAGTCTGCCAAGCGCAGGCCCGGTGGTGGAAATCTTTTGAAATCTTCACTGCTGTACGGCCTGAACCTCAAGAGTCACGGCCGGGTGAATTCTGACCCTGAATGAACCACTGTGCCAGACGCCAGCAGCTATCATTTCCAAACTCATAAATGGCACCCAATCACATCACAAAGGAGAAAGTCCCCCGCCCCATATACACACGTGTATGTCTGTCAGTTTGAAGGACAGCTATCTCCTGTCTCTCCAGGGAGAACTTACTGGTGTGTAAGTGAATAGTAATAATAAGTAAACACACATGTACCTGGCAGGGAACACCCCATGACCACGAACACGGTTTTCCTAGGACGAGGCTCATCCAGGGCACTCCGAGTGTGCTGACCCCTGTGATCTCCCCCATTGTGGGAAACTGGACTGCAGAGTTTGTGGTAGTGGGGCACAGTGTTTGTGCTCACCCCTGAAAAAAAAGATAATAATCAATAAACCTACTTAGTATCAAGGTGCCATGTCTCTAGAGGTGAACCTGGCAAAGGGCGAGTTGTGATAACAGGACTGTCACACACCGAGAAGGGAACTCCGTGCCTTGGCATCCCCACTGTGTGACACAGGGCGTAGCTGAGAAAGGAGCGAAAGAACACTGAGTGCGCAGGTCTCTCGTGTGCCCCCAGCACGGGGAGGGCACTGTTCGGAGGAGGGTAGCCAGAAACTACACTATTTACCTGCTTTATTCTTTATTGCCTTGTAGATGTTAATTCTCAAAAATCTATTATAAACCCATGAATACTATGAAGTGTCCTTGAACATTTTCCCCCATCACAGTCATCAGTTTCATCCACCAAAAATTCTCAGCTCGCCACCTCTCAGGCATGGGAAGAAGGGTTTGAAGGGGTCATGTGGTTGGTCCCGGCCAATGAACTGTGAGCAGGCAGGGAGGGTGCTGTTGAGCCTGGAGCTCTGGCTCTGCACAGCATTCTCCACCCTCTGCCACAGCCACTCTCAGTGTCCCATATGGAGACTGCGCCGTTCACCTCGGTCTGGCGTCAGGTACATGCACGGCTCACACCCCCAGCGTCCGGGGAAATGAATGCTACCTCCAGGCACACGTGGCAGTGGTGGGTAACCACAGCACCTCACCTGTGTGCACTGACTTCACTCTGGGGATTGCTTGTCAAACTTTCAACTCAGGCTCAGTTGTGCCCGGAGATTCTATTTCTCCCGCAGCCCTCTCTTTCTCCTGCTGGACTTTTAGGAGGAGTCCATTTACTTCCCTAAGAAAACCCATCATTTCAGCCATCAGAGAGATGCAAAATAACACCACAAGGAGACACTATTTTGCACTGGTCAGAATGGCTGTCATCAACAAAGCAACAAACAAGTGTGGCAGAGGTGGTGGAGAAAAGGAAACGCTAGTGCATTGTTGCTGGCATTGCAGCCTGGTGTGACCAAGATGGAAAACTAAAGATGGAGCTGCCTTTGAACCTGGCAATTCCACGGTTGGGATGGCATCCTAAGAACCCTGAAACACCAGTCCAAAAGAACCTATGCACCCCAACCTTCACAGCAGCACAACTTACAAAGCCAAGTGCTGGAAGCAACTTAGGTGCCCATCAGTCAATGGATGGATCAAAACACTATGGTACATTTCCACAATGGAATGCTAGGCAGAAGAAAGGAGGAGCTCCTACCCGTTGCAACAGCGTGGATGGAATTGGAAACTGTGCTGCTAAGTGAAATAAGCCAGGTGGTGAAACACAAAGACCACAGGATCTCACCTTTACCAGGAACCTCATCAACAAAACAAACAAACAAGCCAAATATAACCCAAGACACTGAAATAGAGAACAGGCTGACAGTGACCAGAGGGGAGGGAATTACAAGGGAAAAGGAGAAAAGTTTGTAGGAACAAGTATGGGGGACACATGGACAGAAACAAGGCAGGGTGGGAATGGGAGGGAGGTAGGGAGTCCTCTTGAAGCTCTTCCTGACCCCTGGTGGCTGGACTTCATCTCAACATGAAAACCCATCGCTGCCCTGTGTGGGTATCACACACTCACAGGCCCTGGGCATCCCCAGGGTGATGGTGTAGTTACACAACAGGCCGTGGGGATGGGAGCACTCACCTCCACAGACTTCATACTAACTACACTGGGACTGAGGACCAGAAATACAACATAAAAAATCTTACGCAGGAAATGAGGTAGTCCTAAACTGCAGTGGAACTGGGACTCTGAAGAGGAGACATGGGCATTGGTCACAATCAGGACTGGCTACGGTTACATGGGAACAGAGGTGTCACCGCAGAATAAGACAGGTAGATCCTGCCCAAGCCACCTCAAATGCTGACTTTAACCATCACACTCAGACATCCTGACCTGCCAGCTGCCTATGCGCTGTGAGCAACAGGAGATGGGATCCATTCCCCTTACCCCCAACAACATCACACCAATCCTACTGCCACTCCTATGCCTGTGAGCAACAGGATGATGGGGATTCCAGTTCCCCTGGTACCACCCCCAACGGCCGCACTTGGAACACCACGAGGGGCAGCTTTCCCTGGCAGAAACCTCAGAGTTTGTTTGTTGGAGAAGACAAAGGAAGCCAGGGGGAGAGCCAGCTGCCCCCAAACCACAGTGCAACCCTCGCTCTCGGTGGCTGGCTCTCCTCTCTGCTGCCTCCACCCTTCTGTCTTCTTTTACAGTTCCACTCTCCATGAACACCCTGAATGCACTATCACGTGGGATTTTGTTCAGCTGCCTGATTACTGTGCTTAGGTATTTGTTGGGATTCCACTGATTTTGGTTTGGTCCTCAGATATTTTCCCAACTTCATTTTTGAGAGTCATATTAGTATTTTTTGGTGAAATGTCCATGTGATCCCAGGGACAGAATGAAACAGTACTGTCATGAAATGGGATGGATTTCAGGTGGTGGTTGCCATGGAAACCATTGCCTTTTCTAGGGTGGGAGATGATGCCACATCTTCCCGAAAGAACTGCAAACTGTATGGATATTTGATTCTTTCTATGTCACAGATTGCAAAGGACCGAAAACTGAGTTTCCAAACTGTACACCAGGAAAGCCTTTGCATTTTCCTCTAATGACACCCTCCCTCCCACATTTCAAAAATAAACAGTGACTCTCTGATCGCGAGGCCACAGAAGTCCAGGGCTTGGAAACATGGCAGTGAGAGGAGATGAAGCCTTTCAGAACATGCTTCCTTGGGAGTGAGATTTCATCCAGGCTGGGAGGTCCAGAACAAGGGGTAAATAGGAGTTCACAAGACCACTGTCTGCTTGTCTAGCTCCTCATTCTGCCAGCCTGCTACATGAGCCACTGTTAGAACGCGTCTAGCTTCCTGTTCACTTCAGGAGTTACCACGGAAGGAAATAATGAATGGTTGGAAAAAAAGACAGAATTAAATAGTCTTAAGATGTTTTCATAAAGCAACATGGGACCTTCCTCCTTTCCTTGGGCGGCTGTGAAGGACAGCTAGGAAAAAAAACAGGCTATTTTTGTGCAAAAGCTCTTGAGGTTTCATAAGATTTGAAAATTGTACACAACCATCACACACTAAAAAGTTGTTAGCCAGCACGAACTCTTTTCCTTTCTTGGCTCTGGTACAAAATTGCTGTTTGATCTTGGACACAGCTCTCTGTCGGCTGGGCTTCAAGTGACCCTCTGAAGGGCTCGGATCACAGTCAAGTTCTGCTTAGAACCATGTGTATCTTTCTCATTACACTACATTCCTGGGTTATTCTTTCCCTCTGTAATTGGCCGTGGGCTGAGCAGTAGCAGTACCTGGTGCCTACCCTGCAAAAGACCAGCTTCCTTTTGACATGACAAAGACAATCTCACAGAACAAGGGGTGAGGACCATAAATTCTTCAGGGGCTAAAACACGCCAGAGTGAAACATGGTTTCAAAGATTTAGAAAGCGGTTTCTATCACCCAGGCCATTGCCAGATAAAAAACTGACTCCTAGAATGGACGTCAAGATCTCAAAAAACGATTCCGTTTCTCAGCCTCTCCCTCTTGAGAAAGGTAGGCACCCAGACTCAGTCTTTGCTGCCACCGACTGTGAGGGCGCCTGCCACTACAATGACCTGCTGACAGCCCGGGACTCCACAGGTTCCCTTCAGAGAGGCACCAACGCCCCCTCCACACCATGGCCCACCCGGTCTCATTGTCAAGGAGACCAATGTACGCGGGGGGTTTTCTGTCACAGAGTCCCTCACACAACTGATACATCGATGGGCACTTTGATCATAATGCACAAACTGTGCGAATCCCGTAAGAGTATGAAAAATAGACACACTCGCTTGCCTTAAACATCTGCGAACTCAGTTGCCCTTGAGAGTTGTGAGCCATACCCACCCTCATCTGGTGGTAGACCTGTCGGAGTTCAAATACACTCTCCTGCACCACCTACAAGGAGGCAGCCAGGGTGCGGGTGGCTGTGCCAATAAGCTGCCTCCGTGGAGCCTTGCCAGGTGGCATGGCCCCACCACACATCGCCTCCATATTCTCTAAAGAGGCCTCTGGGAGGACAAGCCGGAGGGAGAACAAGGGGCCCTGCCTGAAGGTCTTGCAGTGACACGTGTGCCTCCCAACTGTCAGCCTGCGCTCAGAAGGGGAGATAACCTGGCTGGGTGCATTGAGAATAAGCATGACTCACTCACTCCACATCTGTCCACGGAACAGATGGATCAAGAAACTGCTGGTAACTAGTGAGGCATGCCAACGATGGCCCAGTCTATTCCCCTGGCTCCATTTCATTTCTCCAGTTGAAAACCAGTTGAAAACCTAATCCACAATTTCTCCTCACCGGCCAAATCAGCACACATCTTTCTCGGCACTCGGCATGCGACCTGCTCTGACCTAGGAAAAGGCTCCTTCAAATCCCCCATTATTCACATTGATCTTGTATTATCTAAGATCTCTGATTAATTTTCAGGGTCTCAGATGTAAGTCACTTAGTCCCTAGGAACACGATTCAGGATCTAAAAAGAAAATAAGGAGATATCAGGGATATTTAGACAAGAAAGACCTAATCTTTTGAGATTGAAAAAGAAAGTCTCTCGCTTTCACAAAAACCGACTGAGGACCACCATCAAAGCCGAGGCATGACGCCCTCTGCACCCAGGGTGGCATGTCCCTCAACACGATGGCACAGCATCCAAAGATCACTGCATAGATGTTTCAGAAGTCATGCTGGCCACTCGGTGGAGGCCACCAGAGCATCACGGGTGTCAACGTGCAGTCTCCTTGCTCCAGGCGTGTCCTGAATTCTCATAGCAGTTAGAGTCCAAATGATGTTTCTGATTTCTATGTGTGGAAATGGCTCAAGCCACAAAGGAGAGGTTCTGCTGTTTTCCAGAACCCCCAAATCCTACTGCATTGGCACAGGTCAGGTTGCCTCACTTAAGTGGCTTCTTCCAAGACTCAGTGGAAACCTACGATTT